TAAGCCCAATTGGATAATCGGTTTCTAGCTAAATACACTCAAGTACATTATCGAGATGTTCAAGCTTGAAAATGCGCATGAAGGAGAGAACTTACAGAGAACAAATATTCATAGAAAAGAAACCACAATACCCCCTTCTTTATATATGAAGACCCATTCCTTTAAAATGTTACAAAAACTGCTATTTATAGTGACCAGGCCGACGTGGTCATCATTGGATTAGATCCACATGGCCTCATCTGCTAGACCTGGATGTCACATCATCCTATCTCACATTAATTACATTGACAGACATTTGATAAGGGGCCAGCCGTCCTGCACTCCTAGATTGATATTCCTAACATCTACTTAATGCGGACGTCACATCAATCATTCTTAAAGCTACACCTATCGGGAAATCACGGACATTGGATGTGAAGGAGTTCGACAGAGGGGAGAAAAGCACTTCAGCTAAACGATGAGAGCACTTCAGCAGTAGAGCCTCGGCCAATATCCCTTCCTTTATTCTTGATTGAATGCCACGTGTGTGGACACGGTGCTTCCACGAAGTCCCATTGGAAGCATTACATACGATCAATAACAATAGTCCCTCAAGTCTATGTACGATCATTCATATGATACATAGCATTTACATTGCATAGGAAAGGGGGAATTTAATCGCATAACAATATATCGATTTCGGAGGTCAACAGTAAACATTCTCTCTAAGAGGAGAGGACTGACTGACAAAAGGAAGTGCCAATGAGAGTCAATAAGCAAAATTCACATTAAAATTAAGTGCTATTGTGCTAAAGGCTAACATAACAAACTCCATCCAAATCCCACTTATCAATTACCAATTACCAATTTACTGTCTCTCCCAGTTACTCCACATCTTTAATCCATTCAAGATATCCATTCATACACATGAATAAAAACAAATTTGCCAAAATCTAACAATGATATGCAAATTAAAAACTGACTGTCCAAATCAAAAATTCAAAATTAGAAAACTTGAGGGTGGGAATTTTCTAAACCAATTTAAGACCACAACTCCATGACCCCAAAACATTCGATGAGAATAGCATCCAAATTCATGTACTAATTAATGAATTTTTCGATAGGTGAAAATATTGATAAGTTTTAGCAGAAATGTTCCTGTAAATTTTTTTGTCTATGTTCATCAAGAAACTAAAAGCGAGAGACAAACAGTATATCAAAAAGAAAAAATTACCTGGGCAGGGTAGACCTGGCCTCCAGTAACATACTGAAAGAAAGAATATACATAAAGAAACCCAGCAGGGTAAACGAGAGGCCCTGTATCACCTTTCAATTTGCTGTAATCTCTTTCTCCTCCCAGAAACCCACTGACCTTTAAAATTAGTCTCAAGTATAAAAACTTTGAAGAAAAAAGTCCACTTAAATCAGAATGCAAAATTATAAACATATTGAACTTTTTTTACTCTCACCTGTGACATATATGCATCCCAATCAATTTTGGTGTCTGAAATTACACAAACCAAAAAATTAGAATCACAAAAACGGAAAACATTAATTCAAAAATGTTAACGGCTTCGAATTTACAGGGAACGTAGGTGACGATGAGGGAAACAAGGACGGCATCCGCAAAGAGTAAGGCTACGGGGAAGAGAATTTTGGGTTTTCTGAAAAGTTTCTGAATGGAGGAATCTTTCTTCCAAAATCAATGACAAACTTGACAAGTGGGGGCCCCCTGTTGGTGGAGTGGTGGTGGGGCCAGCCGCCCCGCTAACAGGGAGCCACCACTTGTCAAGTTTGTCAAACTTTTAGTAATTGATTTTATACTTGTAGACTAATCCTTTTAACTTTTACACTAACGTTAATCATTGCTTGGAATCTAGATTCAGATATTTATATAGGATGTTGGGATTCAGAATCCACTTTAAAATGTTAGGACTTTAATACAAATGTTTAAGAATAACTAGTTTCGATTGTTGTCCCGTTTTTGTTTTAGGAAATGTTAACTTCATAATTTGCCTGATCAAGTTGTCACCTCTCTGTCTATCCAAGTGTCACTAGCACTAAAAAAAAATTGCTAATTTCAAAGGCCATCGTTCAAGAAAACGGTCAGCGATCGTTTGTACTCGATGATTGAAACGAGAAAGTGAACTAGTGCAAGAGAGTTAGGTACAAGAAGATTTTGTTAGGGTTTACGTAACTTACCTTGAGTGCCCAATCACTCAGATAAATATTTTGAAGGATATAAGGCAAGCCAAGATGGGCTATTGAATGAGGTCCAAGTTCATAAAGAAATTGTTTAATTTGATCGAGCCCAATGCAATTGACATAATCGCTAATAAGATGCCTTATTCTACCGTGTGTACTTCACACATAATAGGAAATATATACTTGGAAAGGACAATTGGGAATAGCAGAAAAGGTTGAAAAGATAATTAGTAAAAGTGGAAGCATTCTAATCTCGCACGGGGGCACGATAGTACACCACGTTACTGAAAGTTTTTAATTTTAGTAAATTATGCACCCAACATAATTTTTATATTTGTATCCCCAATTTTTTCATATCAGTGTGGGAAAATATTTTATTGAAATTTTATATTTATTGTTTATCTTGCTTATTGAATATTCAAGGAGAAAGTACCTATTTTTATTCCATCATGACGATTTTTTTGCGGTCACTATGGACCAAATGTGTTAATTAATCATGATTTAAGATAAAAATATGATTAAAAAAGTTGAATATAAGTACAGAAATGAACAAAAGTTGATGGTCAAAATGCAATGTAATTAACCAAACCTATGACTGGATTCTTCGTAGAATTGAAAAGATTAAAAAAAACACATGAGATATTGCTATTTATTCATGTTCAATGTGCTAATTATCCAGAACTCAACTAGACGAGACAAGTAACAAATGTTATTCTCTCACTTTTAATCTTGTTATAATAATATTTGCACAAGTGACACCGCGCCTAATATGTGCGCGAAATTAGATTGAAGTAATGTTATTAATCAGTAGTGTCCCTTATTATAATAATATTTGCAGAAGTAATATCACAATCAACATTAACCTTAGTGATGGACGAATAATAGTTTGAATACATGAGTAAGCAATTAATAACTTTTTTTATTCAGTTAAGTTAGCGACTAATAATATAGGGATACATTTAATGGACATTCATTTAACTAACTCAACAATTTAATGTCATCAATGTGCAACGTTCGATTTTCATATAACATGTGGCAGTTTCAGTAAAGTGAAAGTAAGGAATTTCAAACCAATGATGGATGGATGAATAATCGTTTAAATAGATCAGTAACAAATTGAGGAATGAAGAACAACAAACACGAACACGGCCTAGAAAGGTATTCTAGTCGTGCACAAGTCATCGTAGTTCGATGAATATTCCTTCCTTAAATGATCGGACACAAGCCTGCAAAAATGGAAGATTATTATTAGATAAACATCGAATGGATAGTATAATTGAGGAATGGTGTTTTATAAATAGTTGCTTCTCAAGTCCTTCTCAATAATCAGTCCTGTCTTAGTACACATTTTAGTTATAACTATGATTTTTTTGGTTGAAATTCAGGATAAAGATTTGGGCTGAGACATGGAAGCCACATTTCATGTATGGTGATTTTGGAGAGTTCGATGATTTCACTGAGTTGTAATTTTTTTAGTGGTTGTACCTTATCACGTGAATTTTCGTGCAACACATCAGCAACGAAGGGAAAAGAATGATGGATCTAGTGCAATTCGCAAAATTCACTAAGCATTGTGAAGTACTTTGAAATTTAACTTGTGACCATGATATAATTTGGTAATCGAAACATATAACTCCGAGACAAGGCCTTTGCTTAAGCAGAAATTTTCAAGTAACCATATGAACCCCAAAATTCCAAAATCATTCTATTTCTACCTGATTATCTCCTACATGCAGGTGGCTACACTCATCACTGTCGCCAATGCCAGTGGCGTCAACCATGAAATCAGTTGGATGTCGATGAAACCGGGCTGCCAAAAATCAAAGGCACTGTCGTGGATTTGACATGAATTTTGAAATGAACGGGCGCATGTTAGTTGCCAACAATACAACAATATATAAAGCTATGCTGCGCTGCAAGCCAATAGTGTCCCCTGCTCCCTGAAAGGTGCATCATAAATCATCTGAAAACCGGCAAGCAAAATTCACTAAGCATTGTGAAGTATTTTGAAGTTTAACTTGTGACCATGATATAATTTGGTAATCGAAACATTTAACTCCGAGACAAGGCCTTTGCTTAAGCAGAAATTTTCAAGTAACCATATGAACCCCAAAATTGCTAAATCATTCTATTTCTACCTGATTATCTCCTCCATGCAGGTGGCTACACTCATCACTGTCGCCAATGCCAGTGGCGTCGACCATGAAATCAGTTGGATGTCGATGAAACCGGGCTGCCAAAAATCAAAGGCACTGTCGTGGATTTGACATGAATTTTGAAATGAACGGGCGCATGTTAGTTGCCAACAATACAACAATATATAAAGCTATGCTGCGCTGCAAGCCAATAGTGTCCCCTGCTCCCTGAAAGGTGCATCATAAATCATCTGAAAACCGGGTGGTGAAGTAAACCCCTACAACCGCCAATGCTCCACCATTACTGACTGCCGCATATGCAAAGATGAAGAAAGGAATGTATTTATACGAGATTTCAGTCCATTGTTCTGTCCAATTCGGACCAAACATGTTCTTGGCAGAAAAAGTGTTCAGGTCCTCAATGGTTCATTTTTCCAGCTATTAGTGCACACACTCTCTCTCTAAAAGATGCTTTACTAGAAATACTCTCTTTATTGCTTCATCTTGGAGTCAACGTTAGCAAGAGCAATGAGAGAATATATTAATGATGCAAGAATTTCAGCACAAGACTGAGTTATACAAGGACATTACAGTCTACCTCGAACTAAGAAGGCATAAGGGCATTTTTGTCATATTGCAAGGCTAAAACTCGACCGGGGAGCCAATAATATTCAAGATGCAAACATACAACCATAGCACTGCAGCTTCTTTATTCTACCCAGCAATGGTTAATTTTTACACAATTCTTGATCTGAGTAAATCGTAGGCAATCCATTGCATATTTCTAGTACTTCGATAGCATTTTCTACGTTGTACTAAAAGGAACTGAGTAGGGTTAATAAAGAAGAGAAACGAGATGCTTGTTCATTATACTGTCAAATCCCATCCAATCCAGCATAATAAGCATACCTCATGAACACATACCTTAGAAGAAATTGGTCTCTTTTCATTGAGCTGATCTAATAATTGTAACTTTCTCTTCATCCTAGTTCATATCCAGGAACAGGTTTAACTTGGTACACAAAATTTGAATAAATAGCTTACAAGACTAGCAATTCAGTTGCCCTTTTTCTTGGAATTTGAAGACTTATAATTCATATCGTGCTCATATGGATATTCAGGAGAAGCTTTCCAGAGACCTACTAGTATAATCAAGTGAACCCCGAGCAGCAGTGCCGATGAATAAATATTTGAGGGATAGATATTCCAACAACACTCGACTGTCGCAAACAAAATTAAACTGCAGAAAAGATAGACTTCTTAAATTCTCGCGAAAACACCAAGGGTGCAAGTAAAGGAAAACAACGAGTTTCATTATCGAGCAGCATACCGTAGCCATGTTGGAAAAGGTGTTATCCACAATAAATAGGGTAAGCTATAGAAATACCTGCATAAAATGCTTCAACTATAAATGATAGCATTTCAAAATTGGATAAGCCTAATGGTAAGCAAAAGACATAATTGCATTGTAACATGGATGTGAGATCCCAAAAATTGATATATTTTGCCCCTGTTTATAATACCCCTCAGTCATTTAGAGCATGTTTAGCTAAGCTATTAAAAAATAATAATAATAATTCTATACATGGATATGCTACCTTTTTTTCCCTTACTAAAAAAAAAATAAAATAAATAAATAAAAAATTACATATTTGATGCGTAGCCAAACATGCTCTTGATCCCCAAAATGTCCTATGCGCAAATCTTGTTAGTTTCTGGCCAGCTAGGGCAGGAGAAAGGGCAATGGAGGCCTTGTGAAGGTGGCATGTAAGAATGGAAGTTCGGGAAATAATTTGAAGAGGTTCTTGCCCCAAGAGAGTATAAATTCTAATGGCTTTTCAATTTCCACTTGAAAAGAATGAGCAACTAAACAGTGTAACAATATAAAATAAATAAATAAAAAATTACATATTTGATGCGTAGCCAAACATGCTCTTGATCCCCAAAATGTCCTATGTGCAAATCTTGTTAGTTTCTGGCCAGCTAGGGCAGGAGAAAGGGCAATGGAGGCCTTGTGAAGGTGGCATGTAAGAATGGAAGTTCGGGAAATAATTTGAAGGGGTTCTTGCCCCAAGAGAGTATAAATTCTAATGGCTTTTCAATTTCCACTTGAAAAGAATGAGCAACTAAACAGTGTAACAATATGATCATTAAAATATGAACCCTTGTCCCCTTCCTACGCAACAAGATAAACCCAAGAATAAACCCAAGAGGTAAAGCAGTACTGTCTTGCAAGACTCACCAAGAATAGAACTGATAGTGCAGGGATCGAGCACATACAATTCCAATGAAGTTCCCAACAAACATAGTCGTTGCAATATCTGAATCGAGTAAGCCAATGTTTGACATGCAAATACATAACCATGAAAATAGATTAGAAAAAGATTTAACACTGCAGGGAGGAATCCATTACTTACGCTCCATTCTAATAAATCGGAAATTTGAGTCATGACTGCTGAACTGTTTAAGCGGAAAAGTTCTAAGCTTCATTTGAATAAATCTAGAATGCAAGAGAGAGAAGAGCCCTCCTTCATGCCTGCATAAGTTAGACAAATAGGAATAGATAGAATAAAATCAAATTACAACTTAAAGAAAACACCAGGGACCTATCAACACAAGGAACTCAGAATTGAGGGCGTATAAACAATTAGAACAATATATATTGCAAAGCCCGCATCAACTAGCAACAGTTCATATACTACTCACCGGCACCATCTATAATGGGCAAAAACTGTAAGCAGACTAAGATGAGCTGCCAATAAGAAAAGCGCAAATCCTCTTGATACAAAAACTGGTTCTGGAACAAATTTAAAATTAACAGACCTGTAATCACAATCAAAAGTATTTCTTCATCAACCTTAATTGTATTAGGAAAACCAATGTAAGTTAAAAATGCATTCTCATAGTAAAAGAGATATATATAAAAATCTAAAAGTAACTAAAACCAGAAGTTCATTCAAAATGTGTCAAGCCAACAAAACACTTATCAGGTCTTCATATTTTATTCCTCCAAACATCACTCTTTAGGAGCGGAGAATGGGTAGTGGGTCCTTCTATAAACGAAGATTCTACTTGTAGGGAAAGGATACACAAACACACTTCTTCGTAGTTCATGCAGTCCTCTAAAAGAAATTGTTATAGCCACCTGACTCGAGAAGCTATGGAAAATTAGAGGCATGCTTTGATGTTTAGCACAAGGAAAAATGTGTGTATTAGCACAAGTCCTTGATTGGAAATTTTTGTCACTAGGCATGCCAAATCTTGAAACAACTTTTTCTCAATCTCTTAAATACCTTAAAATGTAAACTTTCTAAAGGTCAACAATAAAATGAAAACAAAACCAGCATTCACAATTAATTCAGAAGTATAAGCATGCACTGGTATATTCCAATTCCAAATATATAAGCCAATATGACCCTTCTCTGGCACTGTCTTTCATTAGACAGATATAGTTTTAAACCAAGATGTCAAACAATCTTAAGAGGCATTGCAATCACGATTACTAGACACGGAACGATCACAAAACTAATAAGACCCCTATTGCTCCAAAATGTAGCTTAATTCCATCCAATATTACAAGATATGGAAGTTTAGAAAAAATCACAGAGGTTAAGTCAGATGACCACTAGCCAATCAATTAAGTGTAAAATCATTGAATGTGTAAAGTTTGACATATCCAGCAGATTTAATGGGTCAATGGAAGTACCAAAAGTGAATGAAGACACGACCAAGATCAAATGCTTTTGATATATATGCAGTTGGATATGACAGCAAGAATGGTAGCCCTAACACGATCTGCAGAACCATTCACAGCGGATTGATGAAGATTTCGATTAGATACTGCCTCCATTGAAAAATATTTCAATTGTTCTTTACTCACCTGACAATGTTACAATAAAGGAAATATAAATGGGTTGTCATAAACATAATAGATAATGAATTATAGAAGGCAACACGTAAATATTTATTTGCAATAAGTAATAACTTTATGCAAAATGGCATTGTTAGATACATGAAAACACCTGTGAGTAGTTATGCAATACGTCAACATTGACAAGCTATGGAGCAGAATTGAAGAATAAGCACCTGCACTAGTGCTGCACCTGCTAAAGCAGAAATCACTCCAACAATATCCATAGCCTGCATTTCACGTTTTTCCAGCAAACAAAAAGAGATTGGTTAAAATGTAAACATAGACCTAAACTTTTGAAATGTGAACAATCAAAATCAGTATACCTTCAGCATAAGGAGTAACAAGGATGGAGCATAAAGGAGTACGTTCATCTTTATTGAGACCGCTCCACTGTGCTAACAAGGCAAACGACTATAACACCTTTAGTTTCAATAATGTGACACCAATAAGCAACCATAGTATAAATCCATCCACTGAATAAGAAACCGAAATACAGTAAACAATACCTGAAAATAAGTAAACCTAGATGCCACTTTTGATAAAGAAATGAGATTAGTGCAGCATGGAAGAGAGTCGTTGCAAAACAGTCATTGAACAAGCGAAGCACGAAAATTGAGTGGACTCTTTTAGACAAAGAAAGCAAGGAAAGAGCCCACCACGGGAGCTGCAAGGCAGTTTCATTGGCATTAGCTACCAAAGAATAAAAGTGAACAGAGCTTGAATGTCTAAACTTATAAAACTATCTAACAAAGGGAATCAAAAGATGAAATGGTCAATATTAATTTAAACAGTTCAAACAGCTTCCTTCAAACAATGCTAAAATAAAACATCATAAATCGAGAAGAAAGTTTCATACCACGTCAGTCTTCAAGTAGATGAATAAGACCATTCCAAGATTCACGATGTAGAGAAAGCCAAACAAAATCTGCAATGATGAAAGAACACGAGTCATGACCACTTATATTATACAAATGAATGCACAAAGACAGCCTGTAGTACAGTTGCAAGAGGGAAGTTATTGATTCCAATGGAAATGTGACAATTCAATATTATTACAGCCATTTTATTTTTAAAGAAATAATGACCAAACTATGGAACAGAAAGGGTGAAGGTGGAGATCTGACAATGTATCTATGGTGCACTAAATTAAGTGAACATCGCAATCATTCCAGACAACATCTACAAGATATCCAAGATGTTCAGAGCAATTGATAAGTACTTAAAAAGATGGTTAATTGGGATCTGATTATAGAAGAGCAATGGATCCTCATAGAAATCTCGTGCTTAATTGGTCAAGTAAGGATACTAATGTAAGGAGGGAAAATCTAGATCGTCAATATTAGGTCATTCTTCAAAATACATCCAGAAACAGAAAATTTACTCACCTAGGTGCATGGATTCGAATAAAGGAAGAGACACGGCAAAACCAATGTCTAAAAAGGCATAATCAGGTACTAAGGCATTATTATCGCTGTGAAGCAAGGCATAAACCTCAATATAGAATAATAAAAGAATTAAAAAGAACATAAAAATACAAAATATAGTTGTAAAATACCATAACCCTTTTAAAAATGTCCATAATAAAAAATAATGAGTTTTCAAATTAGTAACATCGAAAAAATTTATATCAACTACTAAAAGTGAAGGCAACTAAAAAATTTCTAATATCATCGCTACTAATATATCCTTTCAAGGGAATCATTTACACCATTGTCATCATCCTCATTACAAGTTACCTTTCATTTTTTTATCATCATCCCGATGGTGTATTCTCCTTTCCTTTTTCCTTCCGTTTATGTATAAAGAAATAACTGAAAACGCTAATGCCAGCATTTAAACGTTTGAAAAAATACAAGGAAAGCTTGGGAACGCCTTAGTTTGGTTGAGGCATAAGACACACAAATGGCATGAGGTAGGATTCAAGGCCTAAGCCTTAAATAATTTTTTTAAACCATGGAGCTAACCAGTACTTCTATCGGAAAAAGAAATATTTATATCATTTCAGAAGATATGTATAGTCCTATGACATTTAATAGTGCAATGTCACGAGTTAGATTTGCAATAGTAAATGTTGACCTCCAAAAACGAGTCAACAGGTGCCACTCCAAGATAGTGCGCATGTAGACAAATTCCACAAGATTGTGATCGTAAGCCCAATTGGATAATCGGTTTCTAGCTAAATACACTCAAGTACATTATCGAGATGTTCAAGCTTGAAAATGCGCATGAAGGAGAGAACTTACAGAGAACAAATATTCATAGAAAAGAAACCACAATACCCCCTTCTTTATATATGAAGACCCATTCCTTTAAAATGTTACAAAAACTGCTATTTATAGTGACCAGGCCGACGTGGTCATCATTGGATTAGATCCACATGGCCTCATCTGCTAGACCTGGATGTCACATCATCCTATCTCACATTAATTACATTGACAGACATTTGATAAGGGGCCAGCCGTCCTGCACTCCTAGATTGATATTCCTAACATCTACTTAATGCGGACGTCACATCAATCATTCTTAAAGCTACACCTATCGGGAAATCACGGACATTGGATGTGAAGGAGTTCGACAGAGGGGAGAAAAGCACTTCAGCTAAACGATGAGAGCACTTCAGCAGTAGAGCCTCGGCCAATATCCCTTCCTTTATTCTTGATTGAATGCCACGTGTGTGGACACGGTGCTTCCACGAAGTCCCATTGGAAGCATTACATACGATCAATAACAATAGTCCCTCAAGTCTATGTACGATCATTCATATGATACATAGCATTTACATTGCATAGGAAAGGGGGAATTTAATCGCATAACAATATATCGATTTCGGAGGTCAACAGTAAACATTCTCTCTAAGAGGAGAGGACTGACTGACAAAAGGAAGTGCCAATGAGAGTCAATAAGCAAAATTCACATTAAAATTAAGTGCTATTGTGCTAAAGGCTAACATAACAAACTCCATCCAAATCCCACTTATCAATTACCAATTACCAATTTACTGTCTCTCCCAGTTACTCCACATCTTTAATCCATTCAAGATATCCATTCATACACATGAATAAAAACAAATTTGCCAAAATCTAACAATGATATGCAAATTAAAAACTGACTGTCCAAATCAAAAATTCAAAATTAGAAAACTTGAGGGTGGGAATTTTCTAAACCAATTTAAGACCACAACTCCATGACCCCAAAACATTCGATGAGAATAGCATCCAAATTCATGTACTAATTAATGAATTTTTCGATAGGTGAAAATATTGATAAGTTTTAGCAGAAATGTTCCTGTAAATTTTTTTGTCTATGTTCATCAAGAAACTAAAAGCGAGAGACAAACAGTATATCAAAAAGAAAAAATTACCTGGGCAGGGTAGACCTGGCCTCCAGTAACATACTGAAAGAAAGAATATACATAAAGAAACCCAGCAGGGTAAACGAGAGGCCCTGTATCACCTTTCAATTTGCTGTAATCTCTTTCTCCTCCCAGAAACCCACTGACCTTTAAAATTAGTCTCAAGTATAAAAACTTTGAAGAAAAAAGTCCACTTAAATCAGAATGCAAAATTATAAACATATTGAACTTTTTTTACTCTCACCTGTGACATATATGCATCCCAATCAATTTTGGTGTCTGAAATTACACAAACCAAAAAATTAGAATCACAAAAACGGAAAACATTAATTCAAAAATGTTAACGGCTTCGAATTTACAGGGAACGTAGGTGACGATGAGGGAAACAAGGACGGCATCCGCAAAGAGTAAGGCTACGGGGAAGAGAATTTTGGGTTTTCTGAAAAGTTTCTGAATGGAGGAATCTTTCTTCCGCATAGGCTTCGGCTTGGCGGCGGCGGATCGGACGGCCATCACTGGTTGCACTATCGGAGTAAATCAGTCCACTGTACGTATACGGATCTTCACCGGGGACTTTTTTCATTCAGAAACAGCTTGAAACGCAGCGTTTCGTGTCTAATGTTTGGACACTATTTTAGCAAATATCACTAACACCCTTGATTAATTAAAAATCTTCGTTTCTCATCCTAACTAACTTCTTTTTTATTAGATTGGAGCATTTTTTTTTAGATAAAATATTTAATTTTTTTCCTTTTTCTGAAAAGTGATTGCAATTTTGCAACCGATATTATTTACTATGAGGATTAATTTTTATTATTTTTTATAAACATAATTGATTCAAGAATTTGATGTGAAAATAGAATAGAACTCGTCATGTTTAAATTGTCATATATTTTCGGATCAATTTTATGAGTCTATTTTTCATTTAACCATAATATAAAAATGGAAATATATTTTAAAATTTCTCAGATAAATATAATCAATTCTTAAATTTAAAAATAATGTTCAAATAAATTATGGAATACAAAATTATGCAATTTAATTACCAAAAGATTTTACATTTTATTACAACTTACTAATTACACCTGATTAAAAATATATTCAATATTCGACTTTAAAAAAAATCCAATATATGTTTCAAATAATCGAACGAACATGATATAAAAAATGAAGTGAGCGAGCTTTAATAGTTTGATGTTATGAGTTTATATAGATATAGAAGTGACAATTTATTTTTTTTCGAGTCTTGACTTTCACCTAAAACATTACAAAAATATTTATCTTCGACTCCGACCATAATGGACCAATCACGAATAAAATCGATGATTACTACTCTTTTGAGGAGTAGCAACAAGGTACAAAATCCAATAAACCCATTTTAAGAATTACTTCCAAATCGTTAACTTTATTTGTTATGATTGTAATACGCTTGTAAGTATATAATCTGGGTTGGACATTTGTATCATAATCGATTGGGTAGAATCAAATGGAATTAGTTTAGCCTAATGCTTTATTTCAAAAAGTTTTAACTTAACGACAATAAAGGATTAATTCTGATGCGTTTCTCGTTTTTGAAAGCTGTAACTCTAATTATTCGCTACACACACGATTTTGTCTTCTTTTTTAAGTAATTTGTTTCTCAATTCGACTTAATTTCTCTAGTCATAGTAAAACTATTTGCGTGAAGTGATGAATGTAGCTTTTCTTTCGTCTGGGCAACTCATAACATTTAACCAATCTTCATACATATTTCAAAATGCTAATAAGTTATGTAATGTGGCCTGTGGGGGTAATGGTGAAATATATATATTGGAGATTTTATTTTAGTTGGTGAGAATTTGGTTCAATCAAATCTCGTTACATCATACATTAATAAATAAATCAGTAAATTGTGATATACATGTAACCTAACGCTTTTTTTAATTAATTTTTTTTTTTTTTGTTGCCTGTGAAAAAAAAAATTATTATTATTATTTTTTGTGACCATATGGTCCGTGCCTATTTTGGACCATAAAAGATATTTATAACATGTTGACTGTTTACAATATAACAAAAATGAATTCATTTTTTTGTGTCCTAAAAATTGCCTAAATATGAAAAACTAATTGAAACGGAAAAATAATAATAAACAACTTTGTATTTATTAAGGGTAAATCTTACCTCGATTAAAAATGGAGAGGAAATTTTACATTTAATTGAGAGGAAGGATCTTAATAAAGAGTACGCATAGTTTTCAATTATCCTAGACGATGAGAATCTGATGAATGGTAAAAGAATAATACTATCCAACATCAATGGTATTAAACACCATCTAAGTGTTAGTCTATCACATGTTATATTAACTGAGCTATAATTTCTTGTATTTAATTGAACAAGTAATATAATATCACTAGTAATGTCATTTAAACTATGTTAAACACGAGCAATTCTAAATAACATTACTCATGTTAATGTTGATATAAATCATCATATTTGGAGCTAGTATACTAAGTCTGTGTCAGTCTTCATTGTTTAAAATTCATTTTCAATAATATATTCATGTGATCTACAACTTTATAATCATATACTTTATCCACCTCATTTATATAGACTTGTTTTTTTTTCATACGAATTAAGAAATCTTATTTAATGTTACCGAAAGAGCAAATTTTGTTAAAAACTTTCTTAGTTTACTTTTATTTATATTTATACAATTTTCAAGATTAAATGGGTGAAAATTTTGATTATAACTAGACAAATTAAATAATGATATATTAGTAAACAATTAAAATATCAAAACAAGACATTCTCAATGAAGAAATATGACTATATAATTAAGACAAGAAAATAAGGAAAGTCAGCAAATTTTGACTTGATGTTTTGTGATTTTGTCTCACTTCTTTTTTTAGATGAATATCAAGTTCTAAATCGAAGTTGCCTTGTTTGTCCTAGTTTGGAAGTTTTATGCATTAAAAATCAAGCCTTAACGATCAAAATTACAAAGAATTCAGCAATGAGAGACGCAAAATACTCATAAGATCGAACTGCATCATTTTATAAGAGTTAAAGCTGAACGTGTCATTAGTAGAATTAATGTAAATTTGTAAATATTAAAAAAATTAATTACAGTAAGAACCTAGGAATCGAATCCTATCGAACTGAACCGAATGGAATTAAACTCGAAAGATTCCATAATTAAATTTGGATCCGACGATTCCACTTACTAAATACTAAAAAATTTTGAATTTGGGTCCTAATAGATATAATTCACCGTGAGGTTCAACTGCTTGACAATTTTTCTTGCTTTCATCGGTTCTTGTCTATTCAATTACATCACTGGACTATACACAGAAGGAACTAGGGGTGTAGGCGGTCCGATTTTACCGATTTTTGACAGATTTTCAAACTAAACCGTTTAAAATGGTTTGAGAAAAACCCAAACCTAAACCAAACCATTTTGAACGGTTTGAAAAAAATTCAGACCTAAACCTAACGGTTTGGTCCAATTTTAAACCGTCGGTTTCGCAATATATTTTTTTGTCCTCTACTTTTATGTTGTTAATTCATTGAATTCAATATACATTTATATTTTACTAGTAATAAATCTAAAACAAACTAAGCCCATGTTTGAACCAAATTTTTGAGACAAAAAAATGAAAATTTGGACCGTTATCCCACAAGTCCAGCCACATTTGTTGACCTGCTATTTCATGTATGAGACCCAACCTCCTCTCCAACAGTCAATTTTTCACATTATGATGATATGATAAATATGGCTGAAACAGGGGCTAAATATATCCACTATAAATTTAAATACCAACTAAATTAAAGTGAAATCACGGTAAACTAAAACATAGTTTTTTTCACCCTTTTTAGGTTAATGACGATACAATGACGTTACAATACAAGTCTACTAAACTAGATACAATGCCCAAAAAATATAATGATATCCAACAACACCTTGTGATCATCGTATCTAGAAAAAAAGATACTGATTAAACAAAGAGAATAACCAATCACAATAATAAAACAATTGTTTATAATATTTAGATATAACAATTACACAAGTTTACGTTTGTATGATGTTACGAAACGCATTTAATTTCAAATTCTTATCTTAGTTTACTCCAAAAAATTGTTGATCTGAAACTTTATTCGTAACAAATATTATCACCGAAGGTATAAGATCTCTTTGTCTCTGATTTCGTATAATGAATTTCAATTCAACTTTGAAGAAGCGTGAAAAATCTGAAAAAGAAGTGTTTGGTGCCAGTGGCTCAAAACTGTGTTGGGTGCCGACTGGAGTTCATCTAAATTTTGAAGAGGAAAAATACTTTTGATAGATTATGTTAGTTTTGAAATTATTAGATATATATTAGAATTATTGGATAATAATAATAATAATATATCTGTATTAGAAAATTAGAAATTGACAAAAATACCCACAAATGACAAAAGTATTGAATTTTACAAATTTGGATGAATTTTCAAAAAATTTCATTTTTTTAATTTTTATATATTTTTTCGCCGATCCGGTTTGATTTTAAACCGCAATTAAAATTTTCAAACCTAAACCAAATCATTTTGACCGGTTTGGTTTGGGTCAAAATCATTTCGTTGACCGGATCCACATGGCACCAAACCGATGGTTTCTGAAATGCGGTTTCAGTTCGATTTTCCGATTTTGCGATTTTTGCTTACTGCCCTACCTTGAAAGAACTGGTCATATAGCCTTCGTTTGGCTCACATTTTTTCAAATTAAAATGGTGGAATAATATATATATATTCTTTAAGAATGAGTGGTTGAAAAAAAAAGTTTTCAATTTATATATAATATTATTTTATGGAAGACGTGTAATTGAAAATATGAGAGAAAAAATAAAATGAAATTTAATCGGGATCAAAAGGTACATGGTTTTTTCTGGAGTAGACAGCAATGTCCGATGAGTCAATGTTGGTGGGATACTCAGATGCTATATTTTTTCAATTTAGTATGGTCAAGTAATTATATAAGCCCCTGTTTTTCGACCATTTTTCAATAATTTTTTTAAAAATCATTTTCAATAGCACATTTTTATAATAAAATATTTTGCATGTAAATTATTATTTTTTTTTTTACTTTTTGACTATAAATTTTTTAAAACATAATATTTCAAAATTTATTTTTTCAAAAACTCTTTCTGATGGATATCAAGGGCTTAGCGGTATGAAAAATTAGATAAATAATGAAAATTAAAATGTTATGTCACATCAATAAGCACCCTGCAAATACCTGAGAAATTCGGAATCAGTAGTACGACAAGCTCTTTCTCTTTGGCCATTGTTTGGTTAGGTAATTGGCGCAAAACATCCTTACCTTTCGAGGTTATTGTGGAAAACGTCCCTACCTTTCATTTTTTGACATTTTTGCCCTTATTTACCACCTTTCTTGCGCTGAAGGTCCTTTTCACTGTTTTTTGACGATTTTGCCCTCTATTCAAATAAAAGAAAAAGAATAGAATAGAAAACAAAAGAATTAATTGCAACTAATACCCCAAAATTTTAAAAAATTACAAATTAGTAATAAATATAGGAGTTAATAGCCCAAATGGTTACTAAACTTTGCCAAAGGTCCAAAAAGGTCATTGAACTTTTTAAAAAAATATATATTTTGGACAAAAAAATGGAGCTCAAACAATCTCTTTTTTTATAGGATAGTACTCTTGCCGCTTCTTACTGTCACTTGTACAAGTCGTGACATGTGAATTAATAAAAGTTAAGTCTCAATTGGATCTCCATTTTTTAAAATTTGTTCTTTTCAAACTCATTTTTATTCATACATCATGTTAACTTTAACTAAAATTTATTAAATATATGATTTTTAACTAAATCAAGGGACTAAATCTCTCTTTATTATATATTTAAGATCATATTGTGGTCGTTCACTCTCGAAAAACTTCTTGGCTATGGATTGATTTTTTTTGCAATGCATGTTTGATGCAGATTTTTTAAAATTAATTTTGTAAAAAATGATATTTATAAAGGATGTGCAGTTAAAATGTAGAAAAAGTTATTTGTCCATGTGTATGTTAATTTTATTGAAAGGATGTGTTATTGAAACTAAGTCCCCATTTGGTCCCTATTTTTTAAAATTAAAATGAATGGAATAATATAATTTTTTTTTGGAAGAATGAGCGGTCAAAAAGAAAGAAAAATTTTCTATTTACGTGTAATATATTTTTATGGAAATTTGTTTGATTGAAAATATAAAGAGAAAAATGGAATTTAATTTAACGGGAGATAAATTAGAAGGAAAATAAATTTAGCTCATGGTTGGTTTAGATAGAAATTATAGATTTTAGCATATTTTAATAAAAATATATTATTTAAACTTCAATAAAAATTGTGAATCAAAATTTTTTTTTTTAAAAATTTTTTTTTGAAATGGTACCAAATAATAACTTAACCATTGTTTGATTCCCATGTTTTAAAAGGTTATTTTTTCAAAACTCATTTTCAATCTCGTATTTTTTAATAAAATAATATTACATGTAAATTTAAAAATTTCTTTAATTTTCAATCACACATTCTCCATCAATTTACTATTCAAAATGAATTATTTATTTTAAAATTCTTCAATAAAATAATATTATATATAAATTTAATTTTTTTTTAATTTTTAATCACACATTTTCTGTCAATTTACTATTCAAAATATATTATTTATTTCAAAATGGAATAAAAAAAGGGTTTAATAATGATTAAAGTTTCACAAATGGGTTTTATATAAATTTTAAAACATTAACGTAAACTAGGAACTCCAAATACGAGATTGGGCGAATTTTTTCCCCTCCTATATTTTAGAAAGAGAGACAATAATTTCTGGATCTAACCCTTGTTTCTTGATCGAAGCTTTCTCACTCGGTAATCCTAACGTGTTTTTGTTTTTTAGGGTTTTTGTTTTTTAGGGTTCATCGCTACTCCTCTTCACATAAGCAATTTTTTTATTTTTTATTTTTGTAATGAAGAATAGTACAATTCGACTTCCATTAAAAGTTAGGTTTTTAGTGATCTTTATTTATTTGATATTTTTAATTCTTCTGATTGCAGGTTATTTTGCGTCCTAAGGAAAATGGTTAGTCGGTACTCGCTGCATATTCTAGGGCTTGTTTTTGTCTTTGAAATCATGGGATAAAAGCTTATGATTTTTGCTTAGTTTATTATTTGGTTTTGCAGCTTCCTCTTTCTTTACTCAAGACCGCTCAAGGTCACCCCATGGTATGATTTTTTCTCTCTTTTTCTTCAATTCAGAGAATATTAATCTTACTCAATAATTAAGTTTTACTATTACTTGAATCTGTATATCGATCCAAGGATCGGCAGCAAATTATGAAATTTTGGGGATCTTCCCTATTTAATGAATGTGGTGTCACCTATAAAATCATCCGCCCTACACGCACCCTGGAGTATATGCTTCAACAGGAATGGTAAATTAAAAACCTATGGTAAAATACTCTTCTGTCACCCAGCAGATTACATAGTCCAAGGATTGGCAACTTACCACCTATTGAGTGACTGGCACTGGACGATTCCATAATGGGTACTATTGGGTCGGTTGAATTCAATAATAGATGTCAGTTGGCATTTTTTTTTGAAATGTAGAAAATAATAATATTAAGTTACTTATTTTGATGGAAGAATTACTTTAAAAAAAAAACTATTTTTTAAGTTAAAATAAGAAAAAGATATCCAATCTTGTTGGGAAACAAAAAGTAACTTTTATATTTTTAAAGCTTAGCCAAAGGTGCCTAAAAAGTTCACTTATAAGTAAAATTAGTAAATTATGAATGCATGAAATGAATCGTTTTTTCATTAATAATTCACTTTTTAACTGGTCAAAGTTAGAAATAAGCAACTTATTGTGACAGTAAGTAAAACTTACCTTTAAAACAAGTTACCTTTTTAACTAAGTTAGAAATAAGCAACTTATTGTGACAGTAAGTAAAACTTACTTTCAAAAAAAGTTACCTTTTTAACCAAGTTATCCAAGGTACTTGAATAACTTTATTTTATCTTTAAGCGTAGGCAAACATCCTTAGGAAAGATAATCAATTTTCTCCAGGGATTTATTTTTGTACTTAATTTTGATAAATAAAACTCAGTGAGAATTAAGTGTTGCAGATTAAGTTTTAGTTGCTCATAATATGATGGTTTGTGTGGTATGGCAGTTAGTTGAGCTGAAAAATGGGGAGACATACAACGGGCATTTGGTTAACTGCGACACTTGGATGAACATTCACCTCCGTGAAGTTATATGTACATCTAAGGTCCTTTATTCATCACTTACACTTATTTTTCTTGATGCCCTTAGTGTAATTGTTCTAGAACATGTTTAAATGTCATTATTATGTGTTTAGGAGTGCTACTTTTTTGTTGAATTTATGAGGTTTGAGATTGCTTCACAATGTAGGATGGAGATAGGTTTTGGCGAATGCCTGAGTGCTACATCCGGGGAAATACTATTAAGTATCTTAGAGTTCCAGATGAGGTATGTCTTAGATCATTGTGTCATTGGCAGATGATGTTTTCTGTTTTGTTCATGCTATCAGATTTTCTGCTAATATTTGGTATAAGTTTTTGGCTTATATTCCTCTAATATAAAGTAAGATGCTACTATAGAATCCCTGTGAATTACCATTGTGTATTAAATATTATGTAATATGTTTTGTACTTTTGTGATGATGATGATAATCACGAGGTATCTAAAATTTCTACAAGCAATTTGAAACCTTTTTGGCTACGAAAAGTTGGGGACAATTCAAAAGATGAAGGGTGAAATCAAAATTCTCAAACATGGTGGCATTGTGCCAACTAGCATCTTGAGAACTTTTCTAGTTCTTAAATATTATGAAATATAATTTGTGCTTTTATGCAAATTTTAATTTATGCAACATTCTGGACCTAAACTTTTTACTAGGTTTCAAAAAGAAATTACTAGTTAGTGGTATAGAGGTCTTTATTAATTTATTTTTATTTTTATTTTTACACTGGCCTGAGTTAGGACATGAATTTTTTATTAATTTAGAGAAGATCTAGAGGAGATTAATTTAGAGGGGTTTAACTACACCATGACCATTAAAAGGGCAGCTGTATCCTCCATATGAGTTGATTTTGTTTTTGTTATTAATTCCTTTTCTTGTTGCTGTTTGTGCATATTGATTGATACTTGGAGCAGTACCATGCAATATTGTTTTAAATTTTACTCTGTATCTTCTAAATGTACTGATTTCGTTTTTGTTATTTATTCCTTTTCTTGTTGCTGTTTGTGCATATTGATACTTGTAAGAGTATTATGCAATGTTGTCTTGATTTTTGACTTCTTGTATGCTTGTAAAGATTAAAGGTGAATATGAGCTACACATTCAGTGTGGGGAAACATTTCACTTTGCATCTGCTAAGTTTCTTGGAGAACTCCATCACAGTATTATCTTCTTATCTTGCAACATATGTCCTTATTTGATCATACAACTAAATATTCACAAAAGAAATATATCATGGCCCCATCAAGGCTTCAATTATAGTTTCTTCACGGTACAAAAAATCCACTGGTTTTGATAAAAGTATGAATCCGTCCTAGATGTGAGAGAGCGTGTTGAAAAAATAAAATATAATAAGTAGATGATTGCGGTCTCTAGCCTCTTAAGCATTTCGATGAGTTGGTAAAACATTATTCTTGTAGTAGTACTGCTGTCAATAAGCTACTTTACTAATACAGGAGATATCTTGAAAAAGTCACTATTGCCAAATGCAATTGGTTAAATGATATTTACACAAACACGGGTGTTGGATATCATAATGGTTATTTCTAATGCTCATTTAGTGGCTTTGCATCAACTTTGTTTTTTTGAGGTATCCATGTATTACATTAATATTCCATCGTCGTTGGGAATGCCTGAATTATTACTTATTTTTGGAGATTTTTTTTGAGACCATAATATTCGGTGCCGGAATTTTTTTTGTATTTTTTAAATAGAAAAACACACTTGTTCAGAATATAGAGAAGGCATTGAACTCATCAAAATGCTTAATATTGTGTGCTCCCCTGTCTCACTTCACTTCTCTTAGTCTTTTTTAATAATTATTTTCCGTCAATTCTGATATGACTATAGAATTGTCAATTTCTTAAATAAATTCTTTCTTTTGATCTTTTTTATATGTTTTGGTTTCTCGTATCTGATGGATTTCTTTAATTTCCAGGTAATTGATAAAGTTCAAGAAGAGAAGAGCCGTTCTGGTATAATCCTTTATTTTTTTATATTTATAGTTCAATTTTAGATTGAAAAAAATAATTGTCTTACTTGAAATTCCTGGCTTACTAAATGCTAAGATTTAAATCATGTGAGATTTGATTAAAACAAATACTTGCTGTTTATTAGGTTCCATTCCTGGTTATGCACTTTGTCTTGTGGCCTCCATTCTCACTCTGTTCTAAGATGAGAAATATAGTGATGTGTTCTCTTTGATGTATATTGCATATTTGGATCATCCTGCTAGTAGTGCTCATCAGATGATATGTTCTTTCTAGTACTCATTTTTCTGATTTATTTTTTGGTTGGATTTTAGCTTCCACGAGTTCAATGTCAATATATTTTCACATACTAGAAAATTGTGCACACTCTTCTAGTAAGTCAACTGCTATCTTTGGATATTTGCCAGATAGGAGGCCACCTGGAGTAGGGCGTGGAAGAGGAAGAGGTAGAGAAGATAGCTCAAAAGCAAAAGGCATTGGTCGCAGTTTGGATGATGGAGCTGCTAAAAGCACTGGTGGAGGTCGAGGCAGGGGCGGAAATAGAGGTAAAACACTCACTTTATGTGGATTTGGATTTTTCTAGAATAAGAGCAATGTTCTGTTGTATTTGTATGGCCCTGCCTGCAGCATGTCTCTCTCTCTTTTGCACATGAGAAAACTACCTACGGGCTGGCATTAGCAAAAACATAACCCAAATCTAGCTGTTTCATGAAGCACAAGCGATAATATCCAATAGCATCCATACAGAATTTAAAATAGTGGATCATTTCCAATTTCCTTATCAACATTGGCAAAAGCATTAACCCCCGCCCTGCCCCCAGGGAAAAAAAGGGAAAACAAATACTACCCACAATTTTGTGCATGATAGTATGAGATGGGTGTTTTGTACTCAGAGGCCTCATAGATAGTCAAATGTTGTTTTATGGCATTGATTGATGGTTTTGGATATGGCAGCAGGTGGTGGGCGAGGTCGATGATGCAAACTGTGAGGTACCAAAACAACTGATGGGGGCTAGTCTGCTATTTTTAAATCGCATCTATCCGCCACTTTTACATGATGTTTGTGTTATAGTGCATTTTGATTATTGTTGCAAGTATTAGACTCTGCTTGGAATGATGGAATGAAGAGACTGAAGCGTGATTGTACAAGAATGAAGATGTTTCCAATTTATTCACATAAAAGGAATTTGGTTTGCAGAAATACTGCGGAATCTTTGCCATGAATTCGCCTGCTAGGCTTAATTATAGCTTACTACATTAGCTCTCTATTTTCCTGCAAAAATAAAAATAAAATTATTAGGCCATTTTATATTTCCTAAATGCAAAATGTGTGAAACGAAAATGAGATTAAATTAGTTGAATTGTAGCATAAATTCAGATAGATAGATGCAATGGTCTCTTGGCTTATTTCAAGATATCTAATCTGTTTCTTCGCCTATGCATTGTGCTATATGGTGTGTTGGTATGGAACAACAGGATTTTCCCGTGTCCAATTTTGGGCTATTAGATTAATTTGGACAATTCCATTTGTACCGAATAGAATGTACCAAAAGTTGTTCCTCGTTTCACAATGCACCCTGCCCCCACGTGAATATAAAAATCTCCAAATGTGGTCCACATTTCCTATTGTGAGTAGTAAATAAAGGATTAGGTAAAATAATATTATGTACATGTAATATTGTTCAATTAATTTATGTCAAAATTCATGGCACAACAAAAATTTGGTATTAGATAGATTCCTGAATCTAATCGTGTATAAATTTAACATATCATACTTGTTCTTGTACTTTAATCTTTGTCAATTACAATTTTACCTATGGTATGCACGCACACATGGTTCCTTCGAAAAATGGGCGAAAAATCCAGAGTTCCTAAGATCAAAATTATATTTAGAATCGCTAAAACGTACCAAATTTATTTAAGCATTTAAATACTATTAGCAACGCCTACGTCCCAACGCCATTCTCTCCCCCTCTCAATATATGCATACGATCTTATCACTTTCTAAAGAATTTCAAGTAGCAGGGACTAATCTATGTACTTCTAACGAAAACATTTGACTCTATATTTTAAAACTCATTTTTCTTCGAAGTCATTTTCAACTACACGTTTTATAAAATTCACAATTTATATCAATTTTTTTTTTTTTACCATTCATTTAAACTACTTTTTTTTCCTAAATATAGTAAAAGCTTCTTCTTTTTTTCTTTTTTTTTTTTAAATAACCAAACTGAACAAGGGCTAAATCAACTTAATATGTCTCGTCCCATCCCGAGCTTGGACATATTGTTGAGACTTCTAATCACAAACAACGTCAATTAATTCGCAATTACGAAGTGGGCCACAATTTCGAACTTCTTTAATAAATATACTTAATAGTTAATGTACTTAACATAATTAACTGAATTTTTAAACCCAAAAAAACAAATTAATTATTGTATAAGGTTCTATTTTTCATCGTGTAAAAAAGATACAAACCTTATTTAGTATGTCGGTCATCTATTCAATCTGAAATTGAGTCTTGTTTGATTTCTAATATCGATTTTAAATTTCTTTGTTCAAATCAATATCTATGTCAGACTTTCCTTCTTAGTTGTTCTGTTCAATTCATTCTTCTGTCCGAGAGCACTATACAACAAAGAGTTGTATGTCTACGATCTGGAATTACTCTTAAAGGAGAATCTATTGATTCTCTTCCAACTGGTTGGATAGTAAGTGCGATGATTTACTAGGTCTCTTGTTCAAGTCTAAGTTGACACCACATCCATGCCGAAGACAACAAGGCAATCATTACACCATTTGTGCGCGTTGCTTTTTATGCGATAAGAAATTTCGCTACTTTAAAACAGTTAAAGAGTTACTATCGCCGTTTATCAGGGTCTCCAATTCAAAACAACTTCTCGTCTTCAAGCACCGGGCAAGTGTCAAGACTCTTAAGCATAGTGAGAGTAGGAATACTTGATAACATGCAGTCAATCCAAGCTAAACAATATGTAGACCAGAGCACTCAGACAATTCACTTTGAAGTTTCAGATCTCCTTCATTTGTACTTTTAGGCTTTTGTTTACATTTTTCGAAAGAAGCACTTGGGTCTTCATTCAATTTTGTCTTTCATATGGAGGACTCTCAATTTAACTCAGGGAGCCAAGCACATTGGTCAACTAAAAGTGAATAGAGATTAATGCAATAGATAATCAACCATCTCACTCGAACTCAGTAGGGACCCAAGCACATTGATCAACTAAAAGTGAATAGAGATTAATGCAATAGATAATCAACCAACCATCGAGAACCGAAGGTCTTATTCCACGTCGTAGCTTATTGTATAAGGTTCTATTTTTTCAAAGTAATTGATATCATGTACAAAAGATACAATTTAAACTCACTTCAGAGGGTTGTAAACAAAACAAGTTAATTTTTAACTAATAGTCATTAAATAAACGGCTTTTGAATTTACAGTTAAAAGGATTGAATTTCATTTCCTATGTATAAAAATGAAACGAAAGTATATATAAGCAAAGCAGTCTAGACTATTTACCTCCCCAAGATTGGTTGATTAGTCATCATGGCTTGAAACAGGTTCAAAAGATCATCTATATGAAGTTTTTACTATTCGTTAAGACGGATGCAGTGCCATAATGGAAGGTTAACAAAAGTGAGTGGATTGTTAAGAAAACCAAGATACACGAAGGATTAGTAATGGAAGTTCTAACAAGATGTACCTAAAAGGAATTTAAATTGGGGCTCTAAGTTGATGGAAACGATTGAGTACTCCCCGTGATTTCAATCTAGAGTATGCTCCTATCCACTGAATAAATAACTATCAAGAACGAAACAACTGTTAATAAATCTCATCCCGTGTTTGGACTTGGGCACAAAACAATAGCTATTCCTTGCATCCTTAAGAGTTATTAATGTCCCCCTTCTTGGAAAGAGGAGAATAAGAACGAAATAAACCCGAAAGAATCTATTTTTATTCTCTCTTTTCTATATACCTACTTTATTGAGAGAGAATTCTTGTCACGATGCATGAATTAATGCAATGTCTAATTCTTTTTTGTAATGGAAAATGATAGGTGGAAATAGATGTGGAAATTTCTGATTTCTCATGCTATGCTTTAAAATCCTACAACAAATTCACATTTTTTCTCTCCTGCTTATAAGCTCTAAAAATCAAAGCCCCATAAACAAAAGTAATTATGCTCCGAAACTACAGACCATGGACAGCAGGCATTCTAGTTCCCCAGACCAGGAATTTGCACTTAGAAGAATACTATACCAATATGTAGCATCATTGCATGCATTTCATTTCGTCTTTTCAATAGAATGCGAAGTAATTTGTAGTTCAAAACCATTCAATACAAAATCCACTCATAATTTGGCTAAGATACAATACCTCAAAATGGATAGACAAACGTCTGCCCGGAGGACGAATAGCAATATTTCTTCAGCACAAATAACATATAACATAATCTTCGTTCTATTAGGAAATGCATGCATTCGTTATGTTACCAAATGTAAAAACTCCAGCTGAAAGCACAAGGCCTGAATTACACAATCATTTAACTAGAGGCAGATCCGGTTTTGCCCTCTGGGGCTTCAGCTACCTTGTCATCAGCTTTCTCTGCAGGTTTTCCGACTTCTTGGCCTGTAATAGCAGAAGGTGAGAGAATTCACACGACAATAATATTAGTGTGACCAAATCTCAAGTACAAACGCATCGCATGTATATTTCTCTTAATAATGGTCAAAGTGGAAATTCTGCTGTCACATATACTGGTCCACTTGTACACTACCAAACAACACAATGCTAATGGAGGGTGGCAAACCACAAACAGAACAAAATAAGAAAAAATGTATGTACCAGTTAACCACGGTCACTTTTTGGCCATTGGGTGGGCATGGGTGTCACAAAAAGTTAAAAGTAACAGAGAAAATTTGAGGGAAGGGGGTTTAACTCCCCTCTTGATTCCTTTTACCTATAAAAGCCTTCAGGGAAATTAAAATTCACTTTTCACCTTAATTAGTATTCAAATACTAATAACATATCATCTTAGGTGCACCATAACCGTGGAAGTATCTAGCACAGCCTAGAGTAGAATAAAAATTAGCCGCCCATTACAAGAACCAAGTCTGACTCATTTAGTCTATATATCATGAAAAGAACGACCAATTAAGAACCCATGGAGAAAGTTAATCGATACCAGAAACATAACCTAGTAACAAAACAAGCATACAAACATGTTAAAACACCCTGTCACAGAGAACACATCATTCCACATCTAGACGAATTCAGTACCTTCATCGTCACTATCCTCAAAGTCGTCCCCCATAGCATCACCTCCCAGACCACCCATGCCTCCAAGGCCACCCATGCCTTCCATGCCACCCAGTCCTCCAAGGCCACCCATGCCTTCCATGCCACCCAGTCCTCCAAGGCCACCCATGCCGCCCAGTCCTCCAAGGCCACCCATGCCACCCATTCCTCCAAGGCCACCCATGCCGCCCATTCCTCCAAGGCCACCCATGCCTCCCATGTCACCAAATTTCTGTAAAATGCATCAAAACAGATAAACATCAAAGGAGATCATAACGAGGAAAATACCAAATTCTGATGATAATGAACAAAGAAATCCTTACCGAGAAATCCATACCACCCATATCTAAATCTGCAGGACCTGATCAAATTATGAAGAGGAAATTAAAAGTAGCACAATTAGGATTTTTTCGGCCTCGTTAAAAGAATTAGCAAGTATATCTCCACACATAATTGGCAACCCTTTTTTCCTCATAAGTAAATAAAACTACTTAGTTTGGCAACTAGGGGATGGCTAATTACTTATTTCCTACTTTAACCAACAAAACAACATAAACATGCTTAGTATTTAATAATTATAGTACAAAAACCATTAAGAATAATAGTATAATTATAATTTATATAGGAAAATTTATAAAATTAATGGATTCTAAGATTGAACTAAAAAACATTAAATAATATTTATTTATGCTCAAATTTATTAAATTAGCATAACATACAAGAAACATTATTTTATGATACATTATAAAGAATTTTATAATTTGCATTACAATTAACATAGCTTTAAAAAAAATTTGTTTATCATTGAGAAATTAGTATAATAAACGTTTAATAAGTATATTTCATTTATATAATCCAATTAATATAAAATACAAAATAAGTTATGCCCAAGTTTAATAGCAATTACTGTATATTTGTATACTATTTGCTTAGCAAATCTCTTAAATATCAAAAAATAAAAATTATAATTGCAAGAATAAATTTTTAATTGATAAATTGAAAAAAATTTAAAATTTGAATTTGAATGAAACAGAAAATATTCATTAATTTATTCAACAATCTCACATTTTATTTTAAACATTTATTTCAAACAACTTATAAAATATTAAACCCCCATTTGGTAGCAATTTCACTCCAAAAAATCAATTTTTCAGTTATTTCACTATTTTAGCAGTCATTTTTAACTTCCTTACTCACAAATGGGACCCACTTTTTTATTGAACGGTTAAAAAATCAAGTCTCATAATCACTACCGAACAGGCCTTTAATCATGAAAGCTTCATCTAATGTATTGAGTAATAAATATTAAAAAATAATACCATATACTTCCCTATTTAGATAAAAATTAGATTTTTAGTAGAATTTGATAATGGTTGATGAAATGTGTTTGTTGCGTGTGGTTGAAAATGAGTTTAGGGAAAAAATGAGTTTTAAGAAATGGGGGCCAAACAGAGGCGTAGTATGCATATCATTATAACATGAAAACATCACAATGCCATTTTTGCTCATTTGACATAATCAGTATTGTTTAAAAAATAAAATTATTAAGTATATTACCCAAATATAGTATCACGAGTACAGTAAATCATAATAAAATTCAACTAGGCCAGACAAGCCCTTACTCTCCTCTCAAATTTATAAAATTTGTACACAACCACTATAAAGAGAATAAAATAAAACGTACCAGAACTAGCACCATCCTCATCTGCATCAACCCATTTATCCCAATCTACTTTAAGATAGTGAGGCGCCTTCTCATTTCCACGCAATAATTTGTCCCACCATTTCTTCTCCGCTTTCTCAAATACACAGAATATATTTCTCACGCCTATGTTTATTTTGCTTTCCTGAAAAACACCAATTGTAACCACAAAACATAACTCAGTGACAAGTGGATAAAATTGAGATTGAAGTCCCATTGTATAACTAGAAGCATACAAAAAATGCATACTGCAGGGGAAAAAACTAACTTTGTCTTTAGAAGTTGAATTCATAACAAGTCACATTATTTCATAATTATTCCTTGTAAATCCACATGACAAGCAATCCACTTGCACTATATGCAAGGTTTAAGAAAATTTGACAAAGCCTCTCACCTCTAAATTAACTTTATCGTGAAGATCCAGTTTCAGTTCGTAAGGTTTGTTGTCAGCCCCTGCAGTAGCAGAGAATGTAAAAACTCCTTCTGGATCGAGATTGACCTTGCTGTCTTTAGCATCTGGAAGCACCACTGTAATATATACCTTGTCCTCCCTTTGTGCCCACTTGACCTCAGGATGCCGACTGCATAACAGAAAACATATTTGCAGATAATTCCCTAGGAAAAGTTGAATCAAGATTACTCTTCAGGGTAAATATTCAAAGTACACTTGATGCATTGTTTATTAGAGGCATGTCAATATGCTCTTATTGATTATAGAATAATACTTGCAATCATTTTATTTTTTATTTTTTTAGTAATCAAACAAAAACATACAAATAGTTAACATTCTTTTTTTGGGGTAACTGTAAATATTTCTAGCAATATTTAGTTTAATTATTAAATAAATAAGAAAAAAATCTTAAAATACTACTTAAACATTTTTTTAATTAAAAAATATACATATTTTTCTTTAAATATACATATTGTTCTTTGAATTAGACTTTTTGAATATTTTTACTTCTGATTACGCCCGTGTCCGTATGAGAAACAGAAATTTCTAAATTACATGAATTTTAAAATAATTAAACATAAATTTGCAGAAAAAAACATCTAGCAGAAACTGAATTCATGCGAATAAAAATATAAATATTAAAATGGAAAGAATTGTCAAACATATGCAAAGCAAGCAACTTCTAGTAAATTTTCAGATAAAGAAGAAAGAAACAGTTCTTCGATTTTTGCAAATGGAACCGCAAATTTAATATAGAGAAGCAAAAATCTTACCTCATGTTTAAGTTTTCGATTTCTTAAAGGAGGAAAGAGAGAACGAAAACCCTAGAAGCAAAGTAGCAAAAATTGTAGGGCACGTTCAGTGCCCAGTGTGCTCCTTATATACAGGAAAACTTGCACTATCGGCCCTCAGGCAATTGGTTAATTGGGAAGTCAGTCTCCAACCTTTCAAAAGGAACAAATTGAGGGCTCTAAATATTCATGAACCAGCATTGATCATTGAGCTAAATTAATCTGGACAAATGACAGCCAGCAATAGCACTAATGGGAGTGAAAAAAACTGATTTAGTAGTTTATTTCTGAACTAATCTTGGGTTCCCAACTTTTCTATGTGTAATACCCGTGTCCTTAATCTTTAGTTTGCGCCAAATTGTATCCCCAACCTTTTACATTGTGTGCAAAGTATTCCAACTCGACGAAAAACGTCTAAATAGATGGTAATTTTTTTTGCCTACAGTAGATAAAATGATCTTCGTTGCACATTTCAAGATTGAAAGAATAATTAGAAATAAAAATTAAAAAAAATAAATCTAAAATCATGCTCTACCATTAACCATTTTGAGTCACGTTGTGGTTCATTGACTTTAAAAACTCAAAAACCAAAAGATTTTCGATAAACACCAATCCATAGTCTTGTTAGTATCGTAAGGCTTGTAATCAAACAAAGAAGCGTCGAAGAACTTTTAAGGAATTATTTATTATAAAATATAGTAACGATATAATTTGAATTTATTCAAAGAATTATAAAACAATTGATTATTAGGCTCGAAATTAATTAAGGGTGTATTTGATTGCGAGTATAGAATTTACATATAAAGAAAATAAATTATTTGCACGAAAATTGTCAATTAAATGTATTTTTGATTGGTTTTATTTTTAATTTAGAATATATTACACTTGTCATCTTTTATTAGTAGGTAGATGAGAGAGAAAGAGTGAGTGAATTGCTTGAAAAATAAAAATATACTCACCCAAAGAAAATATTTTCATCGTTTTCAAGGAAAATATGTCACATAACCAAAAGTAGAAAAATATCTTTCATAAAAAAGATACCAATCAAACAGCACAAAGTAAGAATTTGAATGAAAAATTGACATTTTTCATTAGAAATATTGATAATTAAATACACTCTAAGTGTTTCATTCTGTAACTCATCATTTCACACAGCATGTGCCATAAGAAAATTCTTTTTAGAAGTGTTCACTCAACATGTAAGTTGAGGAATGCATTAATTATGAGATTGAAAAGAAATATAAAGCCTCACCTATGCTCAATGTTGTGTTTGCAGGATTTGGCTTATGGTGGAGATGGGGGTACGACGGGTTAGTAAAGAAGACAAGGTGTTTATTATGATTTTGTTTTGTTTTTATTTTACTTATTAGTTTTATATGAAATGAAAAGGAAAAATAGAGCGTCGTCTATGAGTTATGTTTTGTTGTGGCTTTGGCTTGTGACGGAGACAAAGAATAGGACACGTCAATGAAGAAGATACAGTATTATATTGATTTTTTGCCTTTTTGTTTTTATTTTTTTAAATTGTTTAAAGTAAGGGTAAAACCATCTCTATAATAAAATTTTGAAAAGTGCTGCATGTACATAATAATCTACATAATGATGTTCATAATTACACATGGCGCTGGATCTAACCTTTAATTCAAATACCACACTTGCACATCAACAATTAGATGATTGCCACATCACATTACGGACACCATTATATGCAATAATTATGTACAAGTAGAATTTTCCTAAAATTTTTGGCATCGTCCTTGATGACGGGTAAGATTCTTCACTAGAGATGCAAGTGCTACTTAAATGCTAGGTTTTAAAAGATGAGGATGAAAATGCAACATAGTTCAAAGATTTGAGACCATTTTTTTGGGGATTTTGTTTAAGAAGCCTAGTCAACCATAATCTTTGGTAAAATAGCCTATATCAATACTTTTTGTTCAAGTAGTCCATAGTATATTTGATTATATATTAAAAGTCTTAAATACCCTTAAACTGAAATGACTAAAATGTCCAATTTGGAAATGAATATTACCCAAATCCCCAAATATAAATCCCTAAATCCCCTTCATTTCTCTTGTTTCCAAATCCATTTTCACCATATTAAACCCACCTTCAAATTCAGCTTTATTCTTCTTCATATACATTATTCTTGCTTACAATGAATGATTGCATGTTGAAATTCCCTTTCTTGAACCAAAAACAAATGAAATAGTGCAAATTTTGGATGTGGGTTAGCAAGAATCGATGTCACACAGTTGAAGGTGAGTTTTATAAATTGAAAATTATCGATTTGTTGTTATTTTTTAGTTGTATACTATGAGAAAAATCAATTGGGTAATTAAAATTTGCTGTAAAATATTGAAACGGAATGGTACCGTTTCTCAGTAGTTGGATGCCCTTTTTTCCCAGCTGGTTGCCGTTTTAATAAGACAGTGGTGGTATTGATATATTTGTTGGCAAATTAGTAGTTTCCCCATTCTTTTATAGCATTTTATTATCATAAATAAATTTAAACGACACATACATATTTTAAACTACTGAATGCCATTTTGTTCTGCTTAAAGCTGTTATGTAACAATATGAGTGGCCTTTTATTTGTTATTGAAGTTGTGATTCATAGTATTCAGTTTTGACATTTAATGGAGTAATATATTTTTTTTTTGTTGAATTGCAGATATGGACTCTGGTGCAATGATTGTTATTTGTTATTTTGTTAAATTTGAAAAGAGTGATGAAGGTTGATGGATTTGGAAATGGATAGGAAATGATAAAGACACCACAACAAATATTTTTGTATAAAAAATAATCTCATATGCAGAGTTGTATAACGAAGTTCGAAAAGCAGTTAAGGTTGATCCCAATGTGTGTGACATCGAGATGAAATTTTTCGTTCCCGACATGGCAAAATTATTAGTTCCGCCAATGAAGATTACTTGCGATATGGATGTTAGTTGGTTTCTTTCTTTGCATGACAAAGTTCCAATTTGTGTAACCTTTGTAGAAAATGGTTATGTTGATCAAAAAGACATGGATGTTTGACATTGTAAATATTCAGGATAATCATGAATACAATTCAAATGTTGTTGCAACTAACAATTCGGTGGACATGGATGAATTTTATATGCAAAATGATCAGTCCGATAACAATTATATGCGACCGTTGTCTCCATGTAATCAAAATTGTGAAAACGATTTTGTCAATTTTACAAGTGATGATTATTAGGATGGGGGTAGAAGTAGTGCATGACAACTACATAGATGATTCTCATGTGATAAATGAAGACAATGTTACTCATAATACACATTTTACATTGGTAGATGAGATCATTGGCATTTCCCAAGTTGTTGCTTGTCCAAATCCTTGTAGAACATCAGTTAAGATTCCTGGTGTCGATGATGTGCACGTTAGCCAAATTTTTCGCAACAAGAAGGATCTTCAGGCATCACTACAAATGCTTGCTGTAAGAAACTCTTTTGAATTTAAGGCCACTAAGTCAAATTAGAGTACATATGTAGTAGTTTGTGTTGAGGAAATTTGCAAATAGCGTTTGTGGGCAACACGATTGAAGGAAAGTGAGAAATTTGAAATTCAAAAGTATTCACGTTATCATAATTGTTCATTGGATGTTCGCCACAAAGATCATAGACAAGCTAGTTGTTGGATGATAGGAAAACACATGATGTCGAAGTTTGAAGATCTCAACATTATATACAGACCTTCGAACATTCAAAATTATAATCGTCAGGAGTTTGGCATAGATATAAATTATTATAAGGCATGGATGGCTAGAGAATGTGCTATAGAGCTATTAAGAGGTTCACGTGATCTTAGTTATGATAGATTGGCCAAGTATTGCAATATTCTGAAGAAGAAGATTCCCGGTACGGTGACGTTCATTAAGGTTGATAATGAGAACCGATTCAAATACTTTTTTATGGCTTTAGAACCAAGCATACGTGGTTTTCCCTCATCAATAAGACATGTCATTTCTGTGGACGGAACATTTATGAAATCAAAATTTCGAGGTACGTTACTTGTTGCCATGTAGATGCAAATTTTCAGATATATCCTCTTGCATTTGGCATTGTTGATTCTGAAAATGATGCATCATGGACTTGGTTTTTCGATAAGTTGTTTCAGGTAACGGGTATGTTGGAAGGGCTTGTTTTCATTTCTGATCACAAGGATAGCATTGGTAACGCTATAAAGATTGTTTATCCTAATGCACATCATGGATGTTGCATGTGTCATTTACAACTAAACATAAAGTCAAATTATCATAAGGCCGATATTCTGCCATTGTTTATGGCAATTGCAAAGGAGTATAGTTTGATTAATTTTGAAAAATCAATGACAAATCTATATCGTAAAAGTCCGGTAGTTGGACAATACCTAGAAAAGAAAGTTGGGTATGAATTTTGGTCCCGAGCACATTTCAAAGGAGTCCGTTACAATATTATGACAACTAACAATGCAGAATCTTTGAACTCGTTATTCAAGAATGCTCAGGAGTTTCCAGTACTTGCTATGGTTGAGCAAATAAGAAAAACTTTATAGAAATGGTTTTATGAAAGACACATTGAGGCGAAAAAATGTGCAACTAACTCTAACCCCGCCCATTGAGAATAAAATGCGTAAAAAGTAAATGATGCAAAAGGACTGATAGTAGTACCAATAAATGAGTATGAGTTCCACGTCAGTGTTGAGAATGAAATGCATATCGTAAACTTGGAGGCAAGAACCTGTAGTTGTATGGAATTTGATTTGGAAAAGCTTCCTTGCAAACATGCACTTGCAACAGCGAAATTTAAGGGAATATCTTGGTACAGTTTGTGCTCACCTTATTATACCAGTGCTAGTTGGAAACAATTATATGTTGAATGTATATATCCAGTGGCAAATGAGGTTGACTGGGAAATCTCCAATCAGCCAAAGGTGTTACCACTCCTTTCAAATTGACGACAAAGTAGACGCCTAAAAAATCGTCGAATTCCATCAAGAGGAGAGGGAAAAAAGACTCGTAAATGTAGTAGGTGTGACCAGAGGGGCCATAATCGTCTGACTTGCAAAAATGCTCTACACTAGCTGATAGATGCATAGAACATTTTTTGTTTAACATAATCTTGAAATT